TTGGAAGAGAGAGAAGTGAAGTGAAAAGGGGATAAATACAGAGCCATTAAATATATTTTAGAATATAATTTACAAGTAGTACAAAATTATAAATTATGCTATTATATGGTTAATTTCAAGAAAATAAAATGCAAAAATATGATAGTGATTGAGCTGAAAATATGAGTGAGATAAATTGGGAAGAATTTGGAGTGAGTTTGAGTAAGAGCTTGAGAGTGTTGACTTGATTGAGAAAGCCTTGTTTGGAGATGAGGAGGTGGATGGTTTTGTTCAGGTGGGGGAAGCAAAATTCTGGCTATTGTTTTTTGGATTTTCATTTTTTAAAAATAAAAAATAGAAATCTAAGATATTTTGATTGATTTGAAATTCTTAGGTTTTGTGGAGCATTATGTTTGACTTTTTTCAAATAAAAATAAATTCAAGTAATACAAATCTAGTCATTAACATATTCTCAACATAAAAAATTATATAAGTAGAAAAGTAGAAAACTATCTTAAAATAATTCAACTTTTAGAGATGTGTACCACATAACGGATAAAAAACAATATTTCACAAAATCATAGGAAATACAAAAGATGCACAAGCTAAAGTACTCAAAGGTTGTAAAGATAATTAATATAAAGAAATAAAAAAAATTAAAAGATGAACTTATATGTAATCTACTCCGTCTCATATTACAAGTGCTTAAAGTAATAATTTAGGGTATTGTCTGGACAAATACAATGGTTTCTCTAATAAAATAAATAATGGGTTAGTGTGGCTTAAAGTCCATAAGATCAATCAACTTCAATTCGTCTCAATGCATGATTAGTTTCTAGATACTGTAGTAGATACTTGCATGTTGTACTAAAAATAGTGAATGTTCAAGAAACTTCTAGATTAATGTAGCAATTTATAAAGAAGTTTCTGACTCTTCCTCCATACCACCAAAACATCGACTATAAATACGAGTATTGGGCGGCGCGATCCACCACAAATAATCCTCCAAGACTATGATCTTCTACTCCATATTATATTAACTAGATGGAAATTCGTGCGGTGCACGATTTTTTCCTTTAATATTTTTAATTATTTGATTTATTGTATTTAATAATTTCAGACAAAATTACAAAAGTTTAATATTTTTTATTGTTTACTATAATTTATAATGAATTTATTAAATATAAATAAATGGTAAATATGATATTTTTTTCCATTATATAAAATCTTTGATGTGAAATGATAAATTTTTAATAGTTTAAATCCTAAATCATTATTCAATATTTTACAATATCTTTTATTTTGATAGAATCACCAACCTCGTCTACAACCAACCTAAATTGAACCGTGAAATGTTAGCCAAATTGAAATTGATATAAATTAAATCTTTACGTCTATATAAAATAAATCAATATATTTACCAATAAATGAAAAATTGTTGCGGTATAAAATCAAATCTATGCATTGGAAGTTTTTCATCATCTCCAAAAATAACTAAAGTCATCCATATATTAAGTATACAACATCTAATCGTATGTCATTACATAAACAAATAATCGTTAAGTATCTAAATACAAAGTAACTAATAATTACAGATATAAATTTAAATATAAGATTTTTAAAATTACCCACACATTGATGACCTAAAACTAACACAAAATTTGCTTGATGGGGTTTTGTATTGATACGAAATTTTATTTGTGTCGTATGATGTGTTAGATCTGCATGTAAAAAAACATTTAGTAAATAAAACATAAACATATAATCGTTGAGTATCCCAAATTAATACAATGTAAGTAATAATTAGAAATACTAATTTAAACATAGGATTTTAAAAATTAAGCTAAAAATTACCCGGCCATTGATGACCAAAAATTAACACTAAATTACTAACACAAAATTCGCTTGATGGAGTTTTTTATTGATACGAAATTTTTTTTGTGTCGTATGATGTGTCAATTTATAATGGTAGGTATCACAAATTTTAATTTAATTATAATTAACAATCATCTAAGATTTTTAATTATTTAATTTATTGTTTATCATTTAAATATTTTTTAGTATATTTTTTTTGGATTTCTTATACTCGTAGTATTGAATTAATAAATTTATCTTTTCCTAAATTTTTACTTTATTTTTTTCATTAAAATAATTTAATTCGTGGATTATAATCTACGTGGCATTAAAATTTTAGATATATCAAATCTAATTCGTTACTTTTATCTAGGTGGCGACATAATTTTTTATTTCAAAAATAAAATACAAATCTTTCTTCTTATTGGTCGAAATAATATCTTTTCTTACGTGGCGCTCCGAATGCTCTCCAAAAATGCCTACTTTATATATATATATATATATATATATATATTATATATATATATATATATATATATATATATATATATTTCTTAAGTGATTTTATAGGGATAATCTCAATGATAACCCCCTATAATTGCTACGCACCAATGGTAACCCTTCTTTTTTTGGATTATACAAAATGACACCACTTTTCTGTTTTCTCCTAATAATAACATTAATGATGGTTTTTTAACTTAAAATTAAACCATGGTTAAGCAAAATAGCGAAAAGACAAGAATGCCCCCCTTTTATTTCACCCAACCTTCCGTTTTGCATTCCCTCCATTTATTTCTCTTTCTCCTTCTTTCTCCCTCATCATAATTCATCATCTTCTTCCCTGTGATAGCTTTCCCATCAAGGGTTCATCGAGACACAAAAAAACGCAGAGCATTGAATGCCAGTGTATAATACCATAAAAAAAGGCGGTGATACCCTAATTTTGTGATTTCAACAATTACGAGTAGGGTATTGAAGTTTGGGCTAAGGATCGGAGGTACCTGGTGAAAGATCGAATCTTTCTGCATCTTCTTGCCAAAAAGAAGCTCAGATATGCATTAAAAAACCCTAATTTTTAAATAACATTTGAGTTGTGCATGTTATGTACTCTGTTTTGGCATGATCGTTTTGTTGCATGTTTAATGTGGTTTTGTTCAAGTATTATGCCCTAAATTGAAAATGTATGTTGTCTTGTTTACTGATTTTGTGTTATGGACTTGCTTGTCTGTGTTTGTGCTTAGAATATGGTATGGTGTTAGAATGAGTGATGCAGTGGTGTTGAGGTTTCAGTATAAGGGTGTTGAGGTTGATGTGGTAGTTGAGGATATTGACACAGTCAACCTAGTTGACCTAGTGATAGAGTATTGGGATAAAGCTATTGAGAGTAAAAAAACCAATGCCAAAACATGCTAGTTTTGTTTATGTTCACAAAATGAAACATGTGGACTTGATTACTGATCAAGACTTGATGAAAATGTTTGCTAACTAAATGGAAGAGACCTTATATATATATATGGGTGGGTGAGGCTAATTCACCAAATGAGTTACTGAAGGCTGCTAGGACTTTGAGGGCAAGTAGAATAGCTGCTGATTTGAAACAAAGTGTGGGACAGTTGGGTACAACAGAATGTGATCCTGAAAAGGGAATCCCTAGGAGAAGTCTAAGGAATCTAGAGGGTAGTTCAAGTCAACCTGTGATAGATGTTGAGAGTCCTACGAAACTAACCCCTAGGAGAAACATTTCATCCAATGTCAGAGAACCTGCAGACTCAGTTCCAGATCCTATTCCTGAACCTGTTAATGAGGGAGATAATGAAGCTGATGATGAAAGTAGTGGTGAACCTGTTAATGAGGGAGATAATGAAGCTGATGATGAAAGTGATGGTGAACCTGTTGAAAACCCTATAGTTGAAATATATAATGCAGTACCTAGTGATGATACCTGGGCTGATTTGATGAGGGAAATGGAAGAAGAAAAAGAATACATGAGTAGGGGGAGAGGAAGAGGGAGGGGGAGACCTAGAGGGAGAGGTAGGGGGAAATGTAGGGGTAGAGTTAGGGGGGAAGAAGCACCTGTCAGGCTGACAGGAGGTAGGATATGGCATCTTGGACCTAGAAGAGACTTGAAGGCATGGTATAGGAAGCAATTAGAGAATGCAGTAGAGACTGAGGCTGAGAGGTTGGCTAGGGAAAGGTATGAGAAGAGAGAAGAAGAGATGAGGAAAGAACTAGGGTTACCACCTATAGAACAAGCCAAACTAGTGCAGGTACTCAGAAGAAGTCCAAGAAAAAGGTTCCAAACTCATACAGAAGCTAGGATGGATGTGATTGCACCACCTATAACTGAGATGAATGTTATCACAAAGCAAGTTGCAGGGCCCTCTGGGGAGATAGTGACATCTTCTAAATCTTCCAAGACATCTACCACATTTGGTAAGAGAATTCCAAGGACTACAACTAAAAGGAGGGGATTGATTATCAGAACAAGTTATGATGAAGCAACTGAGCCATCAAACCAACTTATTGTGAGTTTAGGTGGAGATGGAGCTGATCTGAGTGATGAAGGGGATGAAGGGGATGGAGGTGAATTTGATTCTAAAGAAGGAGATGATCAGGAAGATCACAATGTAGATCAGGAAAATGAAGATGAAGATGATAATGACACTTTTGATGATGTAGGCCCAGTTGATGACAACTTTGATCCTTGGGAAGGCCCTGTGTGGGATAATGACAATGAAGCTGAAGATTACTTTGCAAACTTGTACAAAAATGGAGAGTTGTACAATGAGGAGGAGTTTGGCAAAATTGTCATCAAACCATGGCAATTATTTACAGATAAACAGCATTTGGGAGATGTTGTGAGGGATTACTGCATACAAAGTGGGTTTTATGTAGTTGTTCTCAAGGCATCTAATATGAGGTGGACGGTTACATATTCTGACATTAACTGTGAATGGAGGCTGCATGCATCTAGGCTTCCTGATGGTGTTACATGGGCAATCAAGTCCATTCAGAACATGGAGCACACTTGTTCTGGTTTAGAGGTGAAGAATCCAATGGTGTCTACCAATTGGGCAGCAAGAGTGTTGATGGAGGAAATAAGAGCCAACAATGATATCTCTGCCAAGACATTGAACTAGTTACTGTGGCAAAGATATGGAGTACAAATGTCTGCAAGTACTGTATACAGGATGAGGTCAAAGGCTCTGAGGGATATTTATGGGGGTCATGACATCTCATATGCCCAACTTCCTGACTACTGTGAAATGGTGAGATCAACAAACCCAGGTTCTTTTGCATTCTGTGCTTGGACACCTCAAGATCATATTGACAGGCCTTTGCAATTCCTAAACATCTTTATATCATTCAAAGGCTGTAAAGATGGGTTGTTAGCTGGCTGTAGGAGCTTTATAGGTGTTGATGGGGCTCACCTAAAGGGGAATTATGGCGGTGTCCTGTTATCTGCAGTGGCACTAGATGCAAACAATGAGCTATTCCCCTTTGCTTGGGCAATTGTATCAGTTGAGGACACAGAGAATTGGAAGTTCTTTCTGTGGCATTTGAAGAACTTGCTCAAAGACAGTGGGAGAGGGGATGAGTGGTGCATTATCTCAGACAGACAGAAGGTATAAAACTTATCCTCAGTTTTATATGTTAGCTTCCTTGAGCATGTGTTTGTCTTATATCTATCTTTTATTTTTTTAGGGTATTGATGCTGCATTAACTGAGTTGTGGCCAAAGGCTGGAAGGAGATATTGCTGCAAGCACCTGGTAAAGAATTGGAAGAAACCATTCCCTGGCCCTTTGATGTTTAGCCTGTTCTGGATGGCTTGTGGGGCATATTCTGAGTTCACATTCAAAAAAGCCATGGAACAGCTACAGAAGGTCAATCCAGCTGCTTTAATATGGCTGTCTAAAGTTGGGCCACAATCAACATGAACCAAGCACAAATTCAATGAGGCTATCAAATGTGATGTAAACAAAAGCAACTTTGTGGAAAGCTTTAATGCCACATTGGGTACTGACAGAGCAAGACCTGTTCTGACTTTGTTAGAAGGTAACATATTCTTTGTTATGTACATGTAATGTGTCTATATTGGTGAATGTAGCATTAACACTTTTGCTTATTACTGTTAGGAATTAGAAGAACAACAATGGTCAGGATGTGCACTAGGAAGCAAGTTCTGCAAATTGGGTAGATGATGACATATGTCCAAACATCAAGGCTAGACTTAAAGTGATAACTCAAGAGTCCAGGTGTTGCAAGGCATACCCTAGTGCTGATGGGTATGAGGTGACTGATGGAAAATCAGTGCTCCCTATCAGTTTTGCTGATAAAAGGTGCCTTTGTGGGGTATGGCAGATCTTTGGAATTCCTTGCAGGCATGGCATGAGAGCCATCTTGCGTGCAAGGATTGATCCAAAACACTTTGTCCATGAATGGTACTATGTGAGAAGGTATAAAGCTGCATATGCTGGTGGAATCAACTCCATCCCTGACAATGATCAATGGCCTGACTTTGACATGCCTAAGATTGAACCTCCTGCCATGAAAAGAGGAGTTGGCAGGCCTTGTAGAGAGAGAAGAAGGGATGAAGATGAAGAAAGGAAGGGCAAGAGAAGCAAAACCATTAAGTGCAGCAACTGTCAATGCTTTGGGCACAACTCAGCTACATGTAAAGGAGGCCCCACTGCAAAACAAGTTGTTGCTGCTTCTGCCTCTACAAAGGGTAAAGGGAAGCAAGCTGATGTTGCTCCTGCTTCTGCCTCTGCAAAGGATAAAGGTAAAAGACCCATGTCCTAATCACAGCCTGCTCCAAAATGGAGGACACTTAGGGGAATTAGGTTCTCAACCCAGCCTCAGTAGATGAAAGTGTTTGTTGTAATTAGCACTGGAAACTGATTTTTTTGGGTATTTGAATCAATTTATTTTGGGTATTTTGGGGGGAACAAGGCATATTAACAGTTGGTTTGTGTACAATTGCTTAAGTTTGGTTTGTGAACAAATTGCTTAAGTTTTAATCTACAAGTATTTCCTTTATGTTTATATTGTGTCCAGCTATATTATATGAACCATTGATACAGTTGAATAACACAGTCACTAAACATAAGAAATTGAATTTGAACAAAATTCTGATTTTATTTAGCTAGGAAGATCAGTACATCATTCAACTACCTACATTGTTGAGGACTAAGTACACACAACCAAAATGCCCTTACATGAAACCCTAATTTCACCTAATTTCCCCCAAATTATCAATCTAGGGTTTACAAAGTCCAAAAATAAACAAATTCACTTAATCAAAGTACATAAAAACCAAATCAAAAAAATCCAAATTGCAATCTTCATCATCTTCTTCCCAAAGCCATCCAAATAACCTTCATCATTCACCTCATCAACAATCCTCACAATATTTTCTTCAGGAACCCACGCAAAAAAGTGACAAGTACTGCATTTGTAGTAGGGCCTGTCTGGATTGGAACGTGTGTTAGAAAAACGCACATCCAGATACCTCTTAAATGAACACTCGCAACAGCGAAGCTTGATTGCTCGAGCTCTTCCCATGGTGGCTGCGTAATTTTGGATGGCGAAGAAGACAACAATGGAGGAAGTTGGGGGAATCAAGGGAGAAAGGGTTTTTATAACCTGTTTGCTGACTTTTGGGGGGGAAAGGTTAACCATGGTTAAATTTATTAAAGATATGTAAGTTAAAAAACCATCATTAATGTTATTATTAGGAGAAAACAGAAAAGTGGTGTCATTTTGTATAATCCAAAAAAAGAAGGGTTACCATTGGTGTGTAGCAATTATAGGGGGTTACCATTGAGAATATCCCGATTTTATATAGTGTATTACTTAATCCAAATATGGGAAAATCCAAATTGATCTCAGTGATAAATCTGTAAATATATCTCCTCTAACCATATAATGTTTTTTTTTTTAAATAACAAAGTGGTGCATAAATCAATGCATAAAGGTGTGAGAGGAGATAAATTGGAATGTTAATCTCAGGGATTAATCTGTGCTCCCTCAAAAAATATTTAGTTAAGAATAATCAAAATTTAGTCATGATGGTTTTATAATGTTATACCTTCAATTTGTATCCGCTTCAACTCTAATATACACCATTTACATCTTTGAGATGTGCATGAAATAATGTAGTATAAGGCATATGAGGTGATTGAGAATTAAATATAATTCTCTATCCCATAAACACAAAATAGTATTAGCATAACTCATAGGTTGAAATCTAAAGAATGTCATTGATCATAATGTTTCATGTACCAAAAAAAAATTGTTTTGTCTCTCTGATGGGGTCAAAGTCTCCTGATGGGGGTGCGTGTGTCATCCATGGTGTTAAATGAAAGCTTTCAGCGGATTACTTGACAAACTGGAGCACCACCAGTCTTCCATTTTTTATTATCTTTTTTCCCCAAATAAATTATCGAGCTAAACTATCCTCTTCTATTTCATCTCATGTCAACCTATCTCATCCCCTATTTCGTTTGTTTTTCTTATCCACTTTCTACGTACCATTGAATTGAATTATGGATTGGAGTATCAAACGTTATTATTGTAGTAAGTTACGTATTGATTTAAAACTAATTTAATAATATACAACGTAACGTTATGCAATTTTTTGGGGTTAAATCCATGCATCGCATGGACACTAACATAGTATATTTGTATAAGTATGGGTCTGGTCCTCTTCTTCACAAAAAAATTGTTAATATAAATGTGAAGGGCTATTAATTATTACCTCTATTTCTAAAAATTCGACCCATATATTCATGTAGTCAAAATTGAATAATTTTGACCAAATTTTATGATTTATAATAAATTAACATATGTAAAATTAAACGGATGAAGTATTTTATTATATACTCGTATATCACTTTACGTGGCCCCACTCATACACACTCACACTTTTTTTTTTTTTACTGTTTACTAAAATATTTTTTTCATTCTTATTCCTTGCTTGTATCTCAAGAGAAACTATTGCGTGCGGATGTCCGCACGCAAATTTTCGTGTGGCTGGCTTGGCTGATATGTTTTACATGTTGGCTGATATGTTTCATGTGTTGCCTGTTGGCTGATATGTTTTTTTTGTTGGCTAATATATTCCTTTTGATGGCTGATATGTTTTTTTTCCCTTTTGTTGGCTGGTATCAGATATCATTTGGCTTATATGTTTCTTTAGTTGGCTGATATATTTATTTTGTTGGCTGATATGTATATTTTAATTGTTGGCTTATAACTTTTATTTTGATGGCTGATATGTTTATTTTGTTAGCTTATATGTTGCTTTTGTTTGCTGATTTCATCCTTTTGTTTGCTGATATGCTTCATTTGTTGGCTGATATGTTCCTTCTATTGACTTATTTATACCTTTTGCTTGCTGATTTCATCCTTTTGTTGGATGATATGTTCCGTCTCTTGGCTGATAAGTACCTTTTGTTGGCTGATATATATTACTCTTATTGGCTAATAGGTTCCTTTTGTTGGCTGATACGTTTTTATTAATGTCTGATATGTCCCTAATATTGACTGATATCAAACATCAATTGGCTAATATGCTTATATTAATGGATGATATGCGTCATTTGTTGGCTAGTATGATTAACAACATAATTTATATTATTAACATAACATATACGAAGCTCTTCTTCTCTTTTTCATCTCCTTCTCTCTCCTCTTTCCCCTCTTTTCCTCTCTTTTTCATTTCCTTCTCTCTCCTCTTTCAATGGAACAATACCACCAACAACACCGACACACCGTCCACTGAACCCAGCCACAATCCTCACCGCCACCCCCTACCGATCCCATCGTCCACCGAACCCACCTCACCCACCAACCACCGCACCACCGAACCACACCCAAACCACCACCACAAATTCGCACCCAAACCACACCCAAACCGCAATCTCCACCACAAAATTGCACCACCAAAATCGCACCCAAACTGCCACCAAACCTTTTGATTTAGATCTAGAAACAAGAAGGAGCAGAGGAGAGAGAGAGAAAGGAGGAGAAGAAGGAGAGAGAAAGAGAAGGCAAAATGGCACGAACGCACGAACTGTTGGGTGCGGACGTCCGCACCCAATAGTTTGTGTTATCTCAATTGTACATCCACTATCAATTTTTTTTTTTTTTTTTTTTTTTTTTTTTTTGTAATTACTAACAAACCCCACTCACTTAATATATTAACAAATTTAAATCAACCACATACAGTTTCGTGTCAATTAAAGTGTTGTAATTTAAAAAAAAAAAACGGAGGGGATACTTGCTCATACTGGTACAATTGTTTTGTAGAATTGTTTTCAATTCAAAATATGCCTCCCTTTTCTTCACTCATAAGGTATCTAACCTGCTAATCTAAATTAAACTAAATTTTAAGGAATTTCATTATGATAAGACAAAATCCTCCTTACAAATTACACATATGAATAAGAGAATTGAACATGTGACCTACCGGCTATCAGGCTATCATATACCGTCTCTCACTGTATACTTGTATAGTGTTTGACATAATGTTTCCCATCTCATGAAATAAATAAAATAAATTGAACTACAACTCCGTTGAGAAAAGCAGATCCGTGAATCGGGTCCGCTAAATCTGGATTTGTGGCCGCTGTGTCACTCACCAATTAAGAAGATAATAAATATGCATACAAACAATAGACTATATACTATAGTATAAGTAAAATTGATTGGAATTGTACCCAAAAAAACGCGTCCAAAAAAAAAGAAGCCGAACCAAAAAGCCCACAGAAAAGTATAGGACCTATAACTACATCACATGGAGCTTCTATTCGAACATGGATCACAATAAATTGGTTGTCTATCCCTTTCGATTAACTGCTTTACTTTTACGTTTTCGGAGTTTATTCACTTTCTAAGGTTTTACTTGCACACACTTCTCGTGTACGTTTTAAAGCCCAAACTTGTCGTTAACTGTTAAGATAAATTACTAACTTTAATATGCTGATCATTTGCTATGATTTTTTTTTTTTTTTTTTTGGTTGAAGATCATTTGCTATGTTTTATTGATTATACTACATTAGTGTATTAATTGGATACATTTGATGTATAATACACATTAATCAACGTAACAATTATTAATTTGTTATATTTTGTGTATTTTTTTCCACTTTCAGTATCTTATATGTAACCCTAAGGGTTTAATATGTCACTATATCATCTTTCTATATATATCCAGACAACTTTATTTTCATAATTTGTACCCGTATAAGTAGAATACCAATTGATACTCTCTTCGTTCTGTAATCATTGACATGCTTTGACTCTTATCACAACATAGTCTGAGCTATGCCTTAATCAAAATGTGTCCATTATTATGAAACGGATGAAAGAGAGCGTGTGTAAGATATGCATAAATTTCAAATGGTTTCTATTATCACGTCCTTTTTATATTAACGATCCTAGTTCTTTAAGTTAGGCTAGATAGGTTGGAGGCAAGCTAGGTTGTGAAGAGGGAGCAATAAAGTACCAAATTATACTGATTGGATTAGGGCTTACTCTCATTAATTTAAGACGTGGGTTAATCGGGGCTTGTATCAGATTGTTAAGGTGTATTTGAAAAGTGAATTTATGTCGCAAAATAGGATAAGTTCATAACAAGTTTGACTAGGTCGTGGACTATAAATTTAGCACATAAACCAGCCTGAAAATTGGATCGCATTGGATTAGTACTAAATTGCAACTTGGGTCGTGGTTAAACAAATAGCTTTGTCCACCACTGGAAGGGAACTAAAAAGAATGATTCAATGATATAATCTGTTGCTTACTTGCTTTGTTCAACCATAACAATATGACACATTATCACATCTCTCCATTTTGAATAATTCTGAAATCATCCATTATTTACATAATTAATAATATAAACCCTAACTGTATAATAAGAGGCAGCAACAGCACTACTACCCCCAAGGCCCCAACTAACTAAAAAAAAAAAACAGAAAAAAAGAATCTAAAAAAATTAAAAAAAATTGATAAATCATATGAAAAGAAAGTTGGTTATTACTCAACCGCGTCTTCCTAAAACCGCGTCTTCTCCAACTATAAAACAACTCCATCACTACCTTCCCAAAAAAACCTTTTAATCTCCCCTTTTTCTCTCTCCTCTCCTCAACTTTCTCTCTCCTCTCAACCCTCACTTTCTCTCTCCTCTCGTCTCATCAATGTCGAAAAACTCTACTTCAAATTCAAATCCTCAGAGAAAATCTCAAACAGAAATCGAGATAATCTTCCAGAAATTCGACAAAAACGGCGACGGAAAGATCTCGGCGTCGGAACTTAAATCTCTTTTACAAGCCCTAGGATCGGAAACACCGCCAGAAGAAGTGAAGAAGATGATGGATGAGATGGACAAAGACGGCGACGGTTTCGTCGATCTAACTGAATTCTCCGAGTTTCACGCCGGATCTGGCGGCAATGCCGGCTCCACTAAGGAACTTCAAGAAGCTTTCAGTTTATACGATAAAGATGGCAACGGTAAGATTTCAGCGCGTGAGTTATACGATGTTTTGAAGAGTTTAGGTGAGAAATGTTCATTGAAAGATTGTAAGAAGATGATTCAGTCTGTTGATGCTGATGGTGATGGTCATGTCGATTTCGAGGAGTTTAAGAAGATGATGGCCGCTTGATTCATTGATTGAATTGATCGATGAAATCGTTCGTTATTCTAGAGAGAGAAAGAAGAAGATTAATTGTGTATAGGTGATGATTTTTAATTTTAATTTTAATTACTACTTTTTTTTAAGTGTAATTTTTTGATTGTTAATTAGTGGTTAAATATACTACTGCTAGTTAATGGTTTCTTAATTAACGTTTTTTAGGGATTTAAGAAGGGAAAAGTATTCTTGTGAATACACTTTGCTTGCTAACTGGTTTTAGTTTAATTTCTCATTTTAATTCGTAATACTCTTTTGTTTATTTTATTCTAATTGTGGAGTTATTCTATTTAGATTCAGTTAGGTTTTCTTTAATCAATTGATCAATTTCTAAATATGAGTTAAGAAATATTGTGTTTTACGATCAATTTTGTCGATTTTAGTGCTTGATTCGTGATGGGATTCATTTATGGTATGGAATTGACAGACACGGTGTATATTTGACAATCGTGTAATCGATATGGGAGCTAGTAGGCTACTTGTGACAATTGTAATATAGAATTATAACGTGTATTTGGGGTAAGATTTTAACGTGTGAACTACATACAACTAGGGTAATAGGTGCGTCTAAAATGGTGCATGCCGTACCATACTATGAAATCATCACTTATCAATATACTCGTATAAGTTTAATCGTGTTCATAAACGGATGGTGTAACAAAGACAGTGCTAGCAAAGAAAGCGAGTTGCCCATACTAGAAATTTTATGACCACAAAAACAATCAAGTGTGCATTACCTATAATAATTAATGTACACACAAAATTATTTGGTTAATTTTGGGGGTTTTCCTTCATTGGAGGAAATTATCGTGACACATCATTATCTAGTGTATTATAATGCTCATCACGATATAGACTCTTGAAGAATTGATTAGTCATGTGGCGAAAATTCAAGACATGTCTGAAATGTTCAATGGGGCGCGGCAATAGCATATGGCTCAGGTTTTTTTAATTGTTTACTAAATGATTTTGCGTACAAAATCAATGTAAATTATTCAAATCATAATTTTATTTTCTAATTCTCTATTTGGTAATTATTATCATTTTCGCTTGCATGATTTTGATTTAGTATTATCTGTGCTACTATGGTAATTATATTGAGTTAACAATATTTTTTTTTATTTAATACTCCGTAATTACTTCAGATATTCTTTACCAAATTTGTAAAACGTTTGAAATTATGTCAAAATACTACGTATAATTAATCCCTTATCTATCACATACCCTCTATTATCTCACATCATTTTATATTATAGTATTACCCTAATCTCGTTTTGTCTTATTTTTTCAAAACACTTTCACGTAACAAAGTTACAATGGATAAATATATAGAGATCGATAAATACGATATACATAGTATAAAGTAATGTATACAAGTCACATACTCCGTATATTACAACAATTACTCCGTATGAATTATCGTTAAGATTTGTTGTTTAGCTTAGAACTTTTCTAAGGTTTCCTGCGAATGTGGAGAAGGAAGTGGAGTAATATATGGGAAAAGAACATGTCGTACATATATAACCTATTCTAAATAATGTCAGAAGAATTTGTCAATGAATTTTTTTAATTTTCTCATTAAAGTTGTTTTCAGCTACAGTTCTTCAAAAGAAATAAAAGAGCAGAAAATCATCTTCTAAAATTCTATATGTGGGCCCAAGCTCCAGAAACTCAATGCTCAGATTGGTCACCATTCACCGAGTCACCGCAACTATTTCTGTTGATGGACCCACAATTGCCCCCGTTAATAAGTAAATATAGTTGAAGAACATTAGTACGAGATTCCTAATTAGTTGATTTACTGCTTCAATTTGGTTGTTAACACTTTCTAAATTTGTCTAAAAAAAAATTATTTTGTTGGATTGTACATATAATTTACTTCCTCCGTTTTTAAATATTTACAATACAGTTTTGTGATACACACTTTGAAATCGAGATATTATAGTGTAAATTAATTAAAAATAAATTTTATACGAAATACATAGTACCTAACCCTTCTCTAATCTAGTGTTAAAATGTTTGTTCAAAAAATAAATAAATCTAGTGTTAAAATATTTGTTTACTTTCACTAATCACCTCCTTAAACTATGTGCATAAAGGTTAAGGTTGTGTTGCGAGTAAAAGAAAACGGAGGAAGTGGAGAGTTCTACCACGATATGTTTATCCCTTATATTTCTACTTTGTAATCGATGATACTATATCCAATTCATATTGATTTTCTCACTTTGACCAATTTTACCTCACAAAAATTATTTAAATGAGAAGATCAATATAAAACGGAGGGGGTATTATATTATCATTGTATAATACTACTATTGTAGTATCATATTAATCCAAAGTTGATTAAAGCATTGAGGTGACATAAATAATTTGATAAAGTCTTATCTACATTACTAAATTAGTAATACACATAGGCATCTAAAAATGAAAACAATAAGCATTTAGTAATCATGTGTAGAATGTATTCGAACCCTTAAGTGCTATAGCCATTAAGACTCCTAAGAATAAGGATTATACTTGTTCGGTTGTTCCTCCATTATCTAATCCGTATAATAATCACTATAAATGGATTTATATACATGATCATGCTTGACTTGACTATTAATATCTTTAGTTATTTATTAATTAAAAATTATAATAAATTTCTTTTTAGAGGTATGAATTGAGAATTTGAGATGTGTTAGTAGAATTTATGACAATTTTTTTTAAAAAGCATTAATAATACTTTGAAAAAATGGTACTCCCTCCGTCCCCGAAACTTCGACCCTTATGGCCTAATTTTAGTCCCAAAATGTTCATCCCATTTGCATTTTAATACCCTTTAATTTGCAATAATATTTGTGCAAAATTAGCTTCCCCATGCAAATTTTGCTTTTTCTATATACTTTTATTACTTTCTCTCTCTACTTTTTTGCAATTTCAATGTAAATTTCCCTTTTCAATGTACTTTTCTTAGTTTCCCCATACACTCTTACACTTCCAATTTAACTTCTTAATACCCGCGAAATCAACCCAAAAGGGTTGAAATTTCGGGGACGGAGGGAGTATAAAAAAAGTGTGAATATTATAAAGTCCAAATAAATCAATTACTTGAAAAAGGAGGAAGTATTTAACAAACCCAAATAAGAGTATTGCTTGAGAATCAGAGAATGGAGTATTAGTTGTGAAAGTTTAGAATATTTCACATAAAAAAAGTCAATCTCAATTCTCAAATGTAACAAAGAGGTCACGATTAAAAAAAACCTCCTTATTTTCCATAAAACTTTATCAGATATTAATTGGGCTCTTAAGTGTCTTCAATAAAGGCCATTTATGTCCCGAAGACCATTTCCAAAGCCCATCAGAAATCCTCCCTAAAACTATATCAAAAGTTTGAAGCTTTCCGAAGTTTGATTTGATAGAACATAGAGGCCTGCGAATCTGTTATTTGTGAAAACGAAAACTCTCAAGTTGTCAACTTGTATACTTCGTATATATGTTTATCAACGCTTTTTGTTATTTAATAAGGGTGACCGTAATAGACGAGGTTATTAGGATGAGACTGTTATTCAATACGGTATACCTTAATTGATGAGGTTATGAGGATGAGACCACTAGCATAACATTGTTGACAACTTGTATGATTATCGACGCGTTTTGGTATTTAAAAAGGGAGGCCGTAATAGATGAGGAGATTACTAGAATAACATTGTGATCAACAGAGTTGCTAGTAGACCGAGATACTAAGAACTAAATTTCTTGGGTGTCATTTTTTCTCCGAGGTTATGACGAAGATGTCCAAACTACTGGGCGATGGCTCAGGACAATTGAGGAACAGGAAAAAACTTAAAATAGCAGAAAAAGGGTATTCGTACTCCAACAGTTAATGGTACATTATTTTGAGAATGTAGATATCTACAGACAATAGACATTTGCTTCTCAGATAGAGCTTCTGGAGTTCCAGGACTTGAGAAGTTTTACAGGCGTATCCTGATTTATTATACAGAAATTATAATCTAGCCTATGAAAAATATCAGAATGAAAAAAAAAAAAAAAAAAGCAGAGAAAGCAGTGTGGCCTAACATGGAGGTCAAGCTCTCTTAAGTACACGGGAGTACAAAAGTTAGCACAGTGAAGGCCAGGCGGTAAGGCACTTAGTACACTGCATCAGTGCCAACGCTGGCTGCTAACTTTACTGCAAAACTATACAATCTTTTGGCAGCAGTTGAGCCGATTCACATGATTCTTGGAGAAATTCCTCAGTCCCTTCCTCTTCTTTTATGCAAGTCCCACAAGTAAGAATCTCTTTCAGCCCCGAAGCTTCTAATACTACTGCCTTCACCTCATTGAATCTCTCCTCCGACAGAGATACCTCGGCCAGAAGCCTCCATGCATATTCCTCTGATGCCTTGTCGAAATCCTCTCTCCTTTTCAGCACCATGTGTCCACTGATCTCCCACACTGCTGGGTTCACCTGTGTGTCCAGCACTTCTGGGCTCACTTGTCCCAGAGCTTGTTTCTCAGCATAGCACTGTATTTCAAAAGAAAATATCAAATATTAGTCTCTTTCCTTGCAAAGCACTAGCATCTTACTCTCAATTGCACTAAAGAACAGCAAACACTAAAACAGTGGTTTGAAAATAATATACACAGTACATTCGGTAAGCGGTCATTAATGGCGGGAATGGTAATGGATTTGTATGTAATTTTGCAAGGAAATCCTATGGCCATTACCATATCAATGGAACCTCACCTACAAACATGTATTTTTGTCAACAATTTTCATTTTCACACAATACCACCCCTAAAATGGTAATGAAAATTTGGTATTTGGGGAGGCACTAGCATTACCATGGGTCCATGGGTATTGGGCCATTGGCAATCTTCTTCACAAAGTTACAAAAACCTATAAACTAATCACCATTAGTCCATTACCAACATTTATTATTAACAGCCAAACATGCCATTAATTGAAGGAATACATCATTTCAATCATTTGTCAAACATCTGATTTCAAGAAAAACATTAGCTACTAAAATGAAAATCAATCACATAATTCCATCAGAAACATACCCCCAACCCTGTCCCGCCTCAATATACAAGTCTGTAAGATATGAAATATGCAGTAAACTTATGGAACACGATGACAGCATCCTTTAATAAATCCCAACAAGATATAAATGCAACTAGACACAAAAGTCACTAAGAAAAGCGTGACACAATTTACTCTATAGGGTTGGATCACGGTTGCAAAAGAAAAATGATTACCTGAGGGAACAACAATATCCTTTTCCCACAACCAGATATGAGAATATTGAAAGGGACATTAATACTTTGAAGGCGAATGCAAGAATTA